CTTGCCTACCTCTCATCTTGCTGACTATGCTTCAGTCAGCTGGTGTTTACCTCTCTCTGGGATACCTTCCTCAAGAACTTTACTTGGCTCACTTTTTCCTGTTATTCAGATCTCAGTTCAAATGTCACTTATCCACAGAGAATTTCTCTGCATGTATTATAAAGAAGTAGTTCCTCCCTCCCACCCATTAGTCTCATATCACCCTGTTCCATTTTCCTTACAGTACTTTCCACTAGTGGAAATTAGTATGTTTATTTGATTTTTTTATTTATTGTATTTTTTTTTTCCCCATTGGAATATAAACTATATGAGGACAAGCACCTCATCTATCTTATTTGGCTCTCCAATGGCAAGAACAATATCTGGCACATAAATGGAGCTGAATGAGTAAACATGACCATTTGGTATTACAGTATATGGTCAAGGTTAAGTCATATTTTTAAATCTTGATCCAATAAGATAAAATTGGGACAAATGATGACATTTTAAACATTATTAAATATAATATCTTAACTTTGGCATGAGGCCTGCTGACATATATTCGTAGTTTTATTAGGTGAAATCTTACAATTATGATTTGCTCTCTCTTAGGACTCCATTGATGGATAACTGGTATTCCTTATCGTATCTATACTTCAGCACTGTCGGAACTTTGGTAACAGTACTCGTGGGGATAATTGTTAGTTTACTAACAGGTAACTACCTACACATTAGTATCATTGTATTTACCTCTTTCTATCAGTGTATGGGAGCTCTGGGGGCATAGTGACTAAAGCATTTGACTGCTAACCAGAATGCTGGTGGTTCAAACCCACCAGCCACTCCTCAGAAGGAAGGTTGGGCAATCTACTTCTGTAGAGATACTGCCTCGGAAACCCAAAGAGGGGTTGCTATGAGTCAAATCGACTCAAAGGCAGTGAATTTGGTTTTTTGGATCAGTGTATACCAGGCCTGTTTTGTAGCTAGTTATGCTATGCATTCTGGTTCTGTGAACAACTAGTTTAATTATGTCCTCCATTTTATTCATGGGAAATTTGAGAGCCTGAACTTGTAAGTAGAACACCTATTTCTATATGAATCTTCATTCTACTATTTACTTCATTCTGACATGAACTTGGGCAATCATATAATTATTCTGAACTTAGTTTTCTTATTTATAAAATGAGGAGAATAATAATTAGTCTGCCTACCTCACATAGCTGTTGTAGGATAAAAATAAGATTCTTGAAAAACTATGTACAACTACCAGGTAGATACAATACTAGGCATTTTACATGTATCTTTTCAGCATCCTCATGTCATGATCTTTCCATTGTCCTATGCTGATTTTTTGTAGGTTACAATGAGCTGTACACACATAAAGAACAATAATTATTTTTATGTCTATTAATCTCTATCTAAACATAGTGTGAAGTTTCTGTCTAAACATAATATAAGGACTATTTCCAAATATTCATAAACTTAAAAAATAATTATTCTCCTTTTTATTAAACTGAGAATATAAATAGCATAATTTGCAGTCTGGGATTGCCATAGAGCTATTTCCATGGGATGCTTTGCCCTCATTCTGTGAATTTTCTCTCTACTCAGCCCCTATGTTGGATCCCCTGTTGCCGTACTCCAATACTCCTCATTCTTGGAGACTCCCTTAATGAA